GGCTAAAGGCCGAAGCACTAGCAGCTCATGGGGTACTCAGACTTCTCCCAGGCCTGGTCCTTCGTGCGGGTACCTCACACTTAGTTCCAACCATCTGGTTCGCTTTTGCATACTTCCATTGGCTTTTATTCCTATACTCATAATCCTACAAAATAAAATAACACTACAAAAATAATAAAAATAATAAAATAAAAAAAAATAAAAGAAAGCGGTAAAGCTGGGTTGCCTCCCAACAAGCGCTTGATTTAACGTCGCGGCACGACGTAAATCACTTTCTGCCTTTATTTCGAACTTATGAATTGGACCCCGAGTTTTGATTCTGCTATATGATCATGCTCCTGAGGTGGTGGAACGAATCTGACTGGCCCAATAAAATAATGTAGTAATCTGCACTTCTTCGCCTTTAGATGAGATGTGTTTTCCTGACTTTCTGGCAAGAAGAATTCCAGAATGTAGGCATCTTATTCCTTATTCCTTGACTCCTCAAGTGGCTCGAATGACTCTATTTTTGTATCATCATCCAAACACACTGTGGAAAAATGCTTGGAGTGTCGACCAATGCGCTCAACTATATGAACATTGGGACTGTTTACATCCTCAACATTAATGACACTAGAGTCAACTAAATATGGATCATCAATGTCCTTGGTTGACTCTAGTATCTCTTCTACAACATCGGCATCCTCAAATTCTAGTTGATTAGTTTGGTCATATTCTACTCTGACCTCCTCCATGAGAACCTCAATTTCGGTATCTACTTCATGCTCTTCTTCGCTACTATCCCCAACATTAGCTTGTTGAGCATTAAATGCTTTAACCAATTGACTCACTTGTGCCTCTAGGTTGTGAATAGTTTCCTCTTGCCTTTCTATCTGCAATTGTCTTTTACTATTTTGTTCCACAAGGCACTTTAACATATCATTGATCTTTTTCAGGTCATCATCCCTGGATTCTTTATTCCTATTAACTTCTCAAGAAAAATAAGAACCATCAAAGTAAGGGGTTAGGGGAAGATAAGAAATATAAGCACAACCATGAAAGTGACCATCTTGACCACCACACATATCACACACATTCCACACATAAGATTGAGTTGGTGTACATAACTCGCTCTCGGGAACATTTTGATAATTTTACCATGGGTGGTTTCCTCCACAATATGCATAAAGAGGATTAAAAATAGAATTACCAACCGCAAAACTCTCATAATTCCAAGATGCCATGTTTTTAAAATCAACAAGTAAAACAAAAATAAAATATATCAAATACAAAAAATAAAAATAAAAGTTCAAACTTGAAACCTAGAAACACGTACACCTACAGCTACACCGTTAGTTTCCCGGCAACGGCGCAAAAATTTGATCATGCCCAACTATGCCTTATAAAAAGGACTAAGTGGTCATTGCAAATATAATCCAGTTTATAAGTCCGGAGTCGAATCCCACAGAGAACTAAAGCTAAGCTACAGTTGTTCAATATCGCTAAGAAACACAAGTCCAAACATTTTCCTAATTATAAAGATTATAATATTTATTTTTATCTAATTAACTAACAAATACTAGAAAGCAGTAAAACTGTCAATTAACAAGGATAAGAATTGGAGACAAGACTAAGGAGGTCTAGAGTTATGATTTCCCCAATTATCAGAATCCTTCTCGCTACGTCTTCTATAATTTCGCCTAAGTATTCTCTACCGATCATGAGCACTTTGAGTGTCGTAATTCTCTCCCGATTAACTACCATAATTTACTAGACATATTCTCCCGAATTACGCTAGCTGGCATTAAGTACGACTCACTCGGATCGCACCAAGGTTTCGTTATCCCTAATCATACCTTTAAACCCTCCGTATTGATCTCTCATATACGTTAGGAGTGATGTTGTTCAACAACTACCTAAATATGTACTCTCTCCCGGGCAATACATGCTAAATAGGCACAGTCGATTGAGAGCTCTTCAACCAACCACAATAATAACGTAGTTGAACAAATAGAGAAAATACTACGGCAAATCTATATTAATGTAACAGGAAAATCATCCTTCAAGAGGTTACTTCAAAACTCTAGATAAAAAATTAGCTATTCATAATAGTATGCAAAACTACAATACTAGAATTTATAATCAATAATGGAAATAGCAAGAAGGAAGTGAAAAACTCGTAGAAGAATTCTCTGCCTTGCTCCTAGTGTGTTCTTGCCTCCTTAGGTCGAATCCCCAGTAAAAATTGTGTTTTTTTCTCGGTCTCCCATAAAAAATAGTGTTTAATGACTAATTATATGTGTAGGCAAAAGGCCTAGACGAAATAACCCAGTCCAAAACCAAAAAGGAGACAAAATAGGCTTTAAAAATCTGGAACACGTTCGCCACGGGCCGTGCCTCGCGAGGCAAAACACGCAGAAGTTCTCTTGCTGCAGACCTGGCGTTGCTGCCTTTAAGGCTAGGAAATTGGCTTGCGTCGCCAGCTTCTTTGCTTCGTTTCTCATTCTGCCTAACCTTTCCATTCTTTGCATTAGCTTCTCTTCTTTTATCAATTCTTCTTTTGTTTTTTTTTTGTTTCTTTCTGTGTCATCAATAATTATTTCATCATTAGATAATCATAAGCCCATTGTTTTAGTGCATGAAATACACTTTAAATATTACTTTGCTCCAATTTCATCTCCAATGTACCTACACATAAAATAAACTCAACTAAACACAAATATAGTATAGTTTAAGCATTAAAACACCAAAATGTAAGGTAAGTAATGCACTAAAAATATGAAATTATAGCCAAACATCAAGTGCATTCATTGTTGTGCTCAACTGGCATTAGTCTGGCCTGCACAAAATTTTTTCACACTTTGGCGGTCTTGTTGAAGTCGAAGTGGATCATCTCTAGATGGGCATCACCCTTAGTTCTTGTCCAATTGGCATTCGAATTGATGCCACAAAGAATGTGACGTATCTCCTGGTAGCTTGGGCATTTGACAAACTTTTGTAGTCTTCGTGGGATAGGGCTATCAACTCCCAAAAACTCGCATAAAGACTGCCAATCCATTGGCACCTCCTCTCCATGGACCCATGACTTGAACAAGTCGCCATTCCAATTGGCATAAAGTTCTCGCAACATACTCAAATTTTCATGGTCGGGGCACTCTAGGAACTTATCCATCTTCATTTCCCGCAACCGGGCAAGCACGTCCGGAAAGTTCTTTTCCAAAGTTTTCACATTAATTCCCATTTCGGGGACATACCGCCCATATGGAACCAAGTTATTATGCCATTAGATGGAATCATCATGAACTAGATCCAAATGAGGCCTTGGTCTCAATGGTGCCTTCTTCGATTCGTTGGCAACTTGTTTCCTTTTAGCTTACCGAGAGTATCCCTCCCCTTGCTTGCGCTTTTTAGGAGCGGGAGCAGTGGTGGAGGACTTCCCTCTCCCTTACCCTTGTTTGCACTATCACGAGCCATAGCAACCTACAACACAAATAATCATGAATGTGAGAAAGCATCAAGAAGTCCGCCTAAGGTTATCGTGAGAGTCAAAGATGACCCCACACTTAAAATCGAAGGCTCAATATAATAGACTCACAATCTTGGTCTAAAATGCATAAATATTGCACCACAAGGCAATAAGTACTCAAGACTTCCCATACCGCATAATTATAATTCACTAACTATGCCACACACATAAAATAGTCGAACAAGGTGAAATGACTTAGCCTTAATGCAAGCAAGTAGCACACGGCCCTCAATCTATACCACTAATACATTATACTAGCTAATTATAACAAAGTGCTACAATATACATACTTCAAGATACATGGTGTGGGTGACATGTGAACATTAAAGCCAAATTCTGAATTATGTAAAACCTCCCTCCAAACACCTCACACTTAGCCCGATATCACATATAATTACACTCGGCTACTGAGACTTCACCGGTGCAAAAATTACTCATTCAAACATTTTATCAAACACATTGTGAGTATTAAGTGTATGCAACTCAATTCAACAATGGTGGAACATGGTGGCCCTCCCAAATTTCAACGAAGTAGAGGGGATTGTAGTTTACTACTCCATATACAATACAACAACCAAGTTGTATCAACCAATTTTGTTCCACATTAGGGCCACCCACCATATAACAAGTTCTAAGAAACAAATTATGGGGAAATTTGGGGATTGGGCGTTTGGGAGGGGAGATGTTCATTATAATCGACAAAGTAAAAGAAAAAGAAGAAGAAGAATAATAGAAACATACCAGGAGGAATTAAGATGAAAGCAAGAGAAAACTTGAAAAATTGAGAGAAATAGAGAGAGAGAGAGAGAGAGAGAGAGAGAGAGAGAGAGAGAGAGAGAGAGACGCGGCAGAGAGCTTGTGAGGAGAGATACGGTGAGAGAGAAAGAGGGGTTAGAGTTTGTTTTAACTTGTGGTGGGGATGGGTATGGGTTATAACGTTAGGTAGATGGGTATGTGGGTCGGGTTTTATGGGTATGGGAAATAAAACAAAAACAGAAAAACAAAAAAGAAAAAAACATAATTCTTACCTACCCCTAGCCCAGTGCGTCGCACTAAGCCTGGCGCTGGGGGAAACGTTGATTCTGTTTCTGTGCCCTAGGTAGCGCTAGGTGCTGGCCTGGNAAAGAAAACAAAAAACTCTAGTCTACTTAACTCAAAAAGTTTAAAAACTAAGCTATGAAAGCAATAAAAATTGGGTTGTCTCCCAACAAGCGCCTGATTTAATACTGCGGCGTGACGCAGAGCCTTGCTTACTCATTAGCGAGTACTACTTTGGACTACTCACGATCAATGATTCCTTCCCAATAATGCTTGACTATTTTCCCATTCACTAAAAATTTTCTTTCACCATTTAAAGCACATAGCTCAATTTCACCATAAAGATTGACTCTCACCACCTCGATTTTAACTTCCAAGGAAATAGCTTAAGCCTGGAATGGAACAATAGTACCTTTTGGCCCGGTTCAAAGTGGCGCGGCTTGATACACTTGCCGTGTTATCTTTTTGTTTTCTCCTTGTAAAGCTTAGCATTTTCATAAGAATGCAGTCTGAACTCATCTAATTCATTCAACTGCAAGAGCCTCTTCTCGCCCGCGGCTTCAAAATCCATATTCAACTCTTTAATTGCCCAGTACGCCTTTTGTTCAAGTTCAATAGGAATGTAACATGCCTTCCCATAAACATTCTTATACGGTGATGCCCCAATTGGTGTTTTGTATTCAGTTCTATATACCCATAAGGCATTATCTAACTTTGCAGCCCAATCCTTCATATTCACACTTAATGTCTTCTCTAATATTTTCTTTATTTCTCTGTTGGACACCTTAGGTTGTTCACTTTTTTGCGGATGATATGTCGCGGAAACTCTGTGGCGGACCCCATATTTGGCTAGAAGGTTATTCAATAACCGATTGAAGAAATATTTCCCTTCATCACTAATCAAGGCACGTGGGGTCCCAAACCTCGAGAATATATTTTTCTTCACAAAAGCAGCTACCACCTTGGCATTATTGGTTGGCAAAGTGATTGCCTCTACCCATTTTGACACGTAGTAAACCGCTAGCAAGATATATTTGTTTCCTCTAGAAAATGAGAACAGTCCATAAAGTCTATCTCCCACACATAAAAAATCTCTACCTCCAGGATGTTATTCAAAGGCATCTCATCCCTCTTTGTGATTGTTCTTGTTCTTTGATATTGGTCACACTTATTAACAAATGCATGGAGATCCTTGAACAATGTTGGCCAAAAGAACGTAGATTGTAGTACCTTTGCAGCTGTCCTATTACCACCATGATGGCCCCAATAAGGCGAGGCATGGCAATCATACAACACTAATTCCACCTCCTTTTCTAGAATTCACCTCCTCATCAACTGATCAGCACACTGTTTGTACAAAAATGACTCATCCTAATAGTAGAAGTTTACATCATGTAAAAACTTCTTTCTAGCTTCAGATTCAATTTCAGGAGGAAGTACCCCACTCACAAGATAATTCACATAGTCCATGTACCGTGGGAGAGGGTCTTGGGTGATAGAAAAAACTTTCTCATCAGGATATACCTCCTTAATTTGTCCACCTTCCTCCACATGCTCATGATTTTCCAGCCTTGATAGATGGTCATCTACTTAGTTTTATGTGCCCTTCCGATCTCGTATTTTAAATAGATACCTGATTGTTGCATGATCGGTATGGACTATAACTTTTGTTCCCACCAAGTATGCCTGAAATTTCTCAAAAGCCCACACAACGACCAACAACTCCTTTTCAATGGTGGTGTAATTCAACTGTGCATCATCAAGAGTCTTACTCGCATAATATATGGAGTAAAACATCTTGTCCCTTCTTTGGCCTAGCACTGCCCCAATAGCATGGTCACTTGCATCGCACATAAGTTCAAATGGTAAGGACCAATCTGGTGCCACAATAATGGGGGCAGCCACCAGCTTCTTTTTGCGTTCCTCAAATGCCTTCAGGCAGGCTTCATCAAAATTGAAGGTTGCATCCTTTTAAAGCAACCTGCATAAAGGAGTAGTATTTTTTGAAAAATCTTTAATAAATCGTCTATAGAAACCCGCGTGTCCCAAGAAACTCCGAATACCCTTCACACAAATGGGTGGAGGTATTTTTCCAACCGCCTCCACCTTCACCTTATCAACTTCAATGCCACTCTTTGACATGCTATGGCCCAACACAATGCTTTCTTGTACCATAAAATGGCATTTTTTCCAATTTAACACCAAATTTGGTTCTTCACAACGGGCCAACACCTTGCTCAAATTCTTCAAACAATCATCATAAGAAGACCCAAAGTCTGAAAAATCATCCATGAAAACTTCCAAAACATTTTCTACCATATCAGTGAAAATAGCCATCATGCACCTCTGAAAAGTGGCATGTGTATTACAAAGACCAAACGGCATTCACTTGAAAGTGAAACTACCATAAGGACATGTAAAAGTGTTCTTCTCCTGATCCTCTTGGCATATGACAATCCGATTGTACCCCGAATAACCATCAAGGAAGCAATAATATTCATGCCCCGCTAATCTGTCCAACATTTGGTCAATAAATAGAAGTGAGAAGTGATCCTTGCGGGTTGCTTTGTTGAACCTTCTGTAGTCAATGCAAACTCTCCACCCCGTCACGGTGCGAGTAGGAATTAGCTCATTTTTCTCATTCTCTACAACAGTCATCCCCCCTTTATAGACACACATTGCACTGGGCTTACCCAGTTGCTATCAGAGATAGGGAAGATGATACCTGCATCAAGCCACTTAATTACTTCCTTCTTCACGACCTCTTTTATAATGGGATTTAATCTCCTTTGTTGCTCAATACTAGGGCGGTGTCCATCTTCCAGAAAGATTGTATGCATGCAAAATGATGGACTGATTCCTTTGATGTCAGTAATTATCCACCCAATAGCTTTTTTATGCTCACGAAACACTCTGAGCAATTTTTCTTCTTGCACATCGGTCAAGCTGGATGAGATAACTATTGGCAATGTCTCAAATTTCCCTAAATAAGCATAGTACAGATGCGCTGGAAGGGGCTTAAGCTCTAGCTTTGGAGCTTCTTCAATAGATAGTTTAGGAGGGGTCAGAGTAACAGGTCTGTCTGAATCCTCAAATCTCCCAAACCTATTGACATATTTGTAAGACATGTTAAGTACTTGCTCAATTTCTTCAATCATCTCATCTTCACTGTCTTCTTCATCCCCAATCAAGGATCGTTCAAAAGGATCTATGGAGCTCATATAAGGCACCAATAAAGTCACCTCACTTTCCACCAAAAAAATCATGGATAGCTCTTCATAGTGGGCTGGCAATCTGAGTGCTTTATACACATTAAATACCTTCACTCGATCACCCACTCTCATTGTCATCTTTCCTTCACATACATCAATAAAAACTCGGTCCATGTCTAAGAATGGACGCCCTAAAATAAATGGGACTTCCTGATTAGGCTCACAGTCCAAGATAATAAAATCAGCAGCGAATATGGAAGAACCCACTTGAACTAACACATCTTCAATCACTCCTTCAGGATGAGCAAGGAAGCGATCAGCCAACTGTAAAATCATTGTAGTTAGGAGCGGCTCACCCAACCCTAACAGTCTGAGCACAGATAGCGGCATAAAATTGATGCTAGTCCCAAGATCACACAAAGCTCGCCCGACTGCATGCTTACTGGTCGAGATTTGGATAGTGAAACTACCTGGATCCTTCAATTTCTAAGGTAGCTTGCTTTGAATTCTTGAGCTACATTCTTCAATGAGTACCACAGTCTCGAACTCTGTCAACCTCCTTTTATTTGACACTATGTCCTTGATGTATTTGGCATATTTGGGCACTTCTTGTAGGATGTCTTCCAGTAGAATATTGATTTGCACCTACTTCAAAATATCAAGAGACTTTTTATAAGCAACATTATCCTCACTTTTTGCAATCTCTGAGGGAACGGAGGTGGTGGCCTCGCAACTAATGGTGGGGGTTGCTTAGCCACTGCTTCTTCAGCTGGCATCTCTGATTCCTTTGCTTTTTCTGATTCTACTTCTATGGTGGCCGATTTCACATTAAAGGTCACTTGCTTTCTCTTTTTTGATGGGACTTCTTCTAACTGTCTGTCATTCCTCAATGACATAGCATTAATAGTTGCCTTAGGATTAGCCTTAGTGTCTCTTCGAAGAGCTCCAACTGGTCGAGTATTTTGGGCACTGGCTAGTTGCCCCATTTGTCTCTCCAAATTTTGAATTGCTACAGAGTGGGTTGTTGCCTGAGTCTGCTGATCAGCCATCAATTTCTTTAGCATCTCCTCAATGTGACTCGTCGGGTTTATGGGTAGTTCAGCTTGTGGTGGTTTATACTTCTGTTGAAGAGCTTGTTGCATGTATTGATTCTGAGCACCTTGGCTTCCACCCCAAGAGAAGTTTGGGTAGTTCCTCTAGTTAGGATTGTAAGTGTTCTCATACAAGTTTGTCTATCCCCTATTTGCATTGCCCACAAAACATACAGGCTCTAGATTAGCTGGGCATAAGTCGCTCGTGTGACCCTCTCCACATACTTCACAAAATAATTTAACCTATTGCACTAGCTGAGCGTGTTGCTTGTTAATGACCAATGCCATCTTATTAACTTAGTTTGCCAATGTGGCAACCTGTGCTGATAATGCAGAGACAACATCTAACTCGAGAACCCTCACAGATTTTTGCACTATGTGTCTGCCTATCTCTTCTTGCCAATCAGGATTGCCTTTGGAGAATTTGTTCAATAATGAATATATCTTATCGAAGCATTTCTCCAACATTTGACCTCCCGTTGCAGTGTCCACCACAATCTTTGTCTCTAGATATAGCCCTTCTATGAAAGTGTGAGCTAACACTTTATTTGTATGGTTGTGATGAGAACAGTCTCTGAGCAACCCCTTGAACCTTTCCCAAGCTGAATATAAAGACTCCCCTAATTTGTGTCTGAAGGCGACTATCTCACTTCTGATCTTTGCAGGTTTTCTTGAAGGAAAGAACCTTACCAAATATTTCCTCGCTAGATCATTCCATGATGTAATAAAATTAGCTGGTTCAGCCTTCAACCATCGCTTTGCTTCGCCCAACAAAGAAAACGGGAACAGTGTGAGCCTCACATAGTTTGGAGTGACTTCGTTAGTGATATAAGTATCACTAATCTCCAAAAGTTCAGGATGTGCTGTTGTGGATCCTCGTATGGAAGACCCATGAACTGCCCATTCGCATGTTGTAGCTGGATCATGCTCCGTTTCAGCTCAAAGTGCCCAGTGATTCTGGGCTTCACGATGCTGGAGGTGACATTAGCAATGCTGAGCATCGCCACCTCATGAACAGCCATATGTTGATCCTCTGCCATGTCCACAGGAAATTGATCAAGTGCCTAAAGATTATCTATCCATTGCTTCCCTCAACCTCCAGTGAAATGTTATCTCAGGTTCGGAGTCAAAGCCTTGAAGTCTGTCCTGGCTTCTGACCCTTCACATTCAATCAAAGTTCCAGAGAGCAGATCAACCAATAAGAAATGTTAGACTTGATGAAATAAACAACCAAAGTAAAAACTAGAAAGTAGTCAATATTCAAGTCCCCACAATGGCGCCAAAAACTTGTGACTCCCAAATGCACAAGCAAATATACGTGGTCGTACAAGTAATAAAGTAATAAATCGAGTGTCGAACCCACAGAGACATGTGTTAACTACCCACTAATTTCACCAAAATTATTATTCAGTCGAGTCAATCAGAGTTCAAAAGTGTAATTATACTAAGCAATGATTATAACAAGTAACTAATTTATCAAGCAACAAAATAGTTATTGTGTATTCAGTAGAGACAAATATTCCAGGGTTGTGGTCGATTCACCAATCCTATTGTGTTCTAATTAACTCTCTCTTTTATATAATTCACTCATGGTTGCTAATTAATCGAACAATTACTCTCGTAGTATTCTCCCTAATTACTACTCGCATGTTCAAAATAGATTAACGCCTATATTCCTATGGAATCAATCTATTAAGAACGCATTAAGATTATGATACTTAATTAAGCATGGTGACTAGGTATATTCCTATCCTAACCACAAATCCGCCCCCCACTCAGAGTTAAGATCATGCTCTCTTTAATTCTTCTCTAATCTAGACGTAGCTTTCCCAAGCATAGCGTGGATAGCATATAGAACCTAACTGTTGGCCAGACAATTAAGCAATTAATCACAGAATTGAAGAAGCAACAATATATTAGTGAATTGTAATTAAGGTTAAATCAACGTTAAATCAATGTTAAGCAACAATATTCATGGCTTAATCACAACCCCAAAACTATGGGTTTTAGCCACTCATGATAATATCAAACCAAATTCACAAGTGTTGAATAATTAAGAATACTAAGAAAAGATGAAGAAAACTGAGATATCCTCGCTCCCGGATGTTCCTCGTATGTATTGTTTCCTCAAAGTGGCGTCTCCCCTCTCAAAATAGGCTTAGTCTTGCTTTTATACGTCTTGGGGGGAGTCTTGGGCCGAAATAATCTTGTCCCGGACGAACTATGAGAGATTTCTCGTCACCAGCACTCGGGGTAGCGTGAGGCGCTATCCCTGGCGCTGGACTTTTTTTGTTTCTGACTTCTGCGCCACATGTAGCGCCCCACGCTGTCTGTGGCGCTACACAGTGGCTATTTTCCAATTTTGCTAGCTCCTTTTTGGCTCCAATCTCGCACCTTCGCCCCATATTGCTTCCGGATGATACCTACACATAAAAACACCACGAATTAGCACAAATTATTCCATTTCGCATCCGTAATCTACGAAACATGAGTAAAATGCTAGGCAATATACATATAAATATATATACTTTAAGCTAAATATCAATGCTCCTTTAAAACAGAAAGAAGTCAATTTTACAAACTAAGTAGTTAATCATTATGCAAATTATCATATTTAAATAGCTTTGAGATCGACATTTTCAAATTTCATTTTTTAATATCAGACATGCCAGAATATACTTTTAAATGATATAATGAAGCGGTAGAAAATAAAATTGCATAATTAAGGGTTTTTTCCCTGTTGAAAGGATAATATATATATAGGGCGCACTCTTTATGCGGACTCTTTCAAAATATCATGAGATAGACTTTCCGAATGAACTGAAAAAGCAAAAATGCCAAAAGGCAAAAATTAAAATACGTAATAAGTCCCGTAAAATAAAAATAATTCATGTGTTAATTATCAGGAATGGTGAAATAAGCTGAAAGCCAGAGCATATATGATGTATAAGTAAGAAAAGTACTTCGCTTGTCATGGACCATGTTTTATTACATAAGATAGTCAATAAGATAAAGTAATTCAATTGTAATAGTAATAAATTAATTCACATCCCTCTTCAATGCGTCTTTATTCTTTTTTAGCATCACTAGACAAGAAAATGGAAGATTATAAATAAAGTACCCATTATATCTAACTATTTAGGATGAAATAATCATTATAAAATCTTTAATTATGGTGGATATCCATAACCACCAAAGTACTTAATGACATATTCAATGACATATTTATGTGGTGATCATTCCACTCAATAGTGATCATTCCACTAAATAGTGGACATTCCACTCACTATTTTACAATAGTGATTATTCACTTTCCATGCCTATATAAAGGTCTTGTAATAGATAGGAAAGAACACACAATTTGAAGAAGAAATAAAATCATTTCCTTCTCTCTATCTCCATTTCTTGTTAATGTTTTACTAAATTGATTTTATTTCATAACATGTTATCAGCACGAGACTCTACCGTCTCAAGAAGCTCTTTGAGACGATTAAGGTATAATTTTTCTCCTCTTTTAATTGTGACTCATATTATGAAAAGAAAGTTCGTTGCCCTTGAAATTCCGAACAAGAACTACATGACTTGGGTGTTGGATGCTGAAATTCATTTAGAAACAATGGGTCTTGGAGACGCCATTAAAGATAGAAATAAAGCATTTACCCAAGACTGTGCTAAGGCCTTGATTTTCTTGCGCCATCACCTTGATGAAGGGTTAAAAATAGAATATCTCACAGTCAAAGATCCACTTGTTTTGTGAACTGGCTTAAAGGAAAGATATGACAACTTAAAGTTGGTCACTCTTCCACAAGCACGATATGATTGAGCTCATCTGAGGCTCCAAGACTTTAAGTCTATTTCTGAATATAATTCTGCGATGTTCAGAATTACTTCTAAATTGAAACTCTGTGGAGATAGTATCAGTGACTATGATATGCTTGAAAAAATATTCACAATATTTCATGCCTCCAATATGGTCTTGCAACAGCAGTAGTGTTACACTTTGTGTGTCCCAAGGTGACAAAATAAATATAAGACATGTTAATCAAGATTTAAATGAGTTTAAATCATGATATAACTATATATGATGTTTGAATATGAAATATAAAGTTTGAAAAAAATCGGATTAAAGTTACGGAAAAACCGACTAAGGATTTGCTTTGTTCCGTAGCTTTATGAGCAATATATTTCATGTGCTATAAGAGGTCTTTTGGGACATATTATATACCACATTGAAGGTCTTGAAATTTAGTTTCCAACGCTCTTAACCGTTCATTCATACGACGTCCGGATAAAAAGATATAAGCATCTGAAGAAGGGTCAATGCGAGGGTGCCAAGTAGCACTTTTTTGACTTTTAAAAAAAGGGATATTTACATCCCTTATCTCGTCTCTTTCTCTATTTTTCCAGAGAGCACGACCAACTAACACCCCTAACCTTACCCTTAAGCTCTCTACAATGGCTTCTAACAAGATTATAATCCCGGGCATGAAATCAAGAAGCGATAAAATTAAAATGATCCCTACAACGTAAGTATCGCTATATTGCCTCTCCTTTTCTTTGTAATTTGAGTTTTGAAATATATTTAATAGTTAAAAAAATTCCTACTTTATGTATTTATTCCTTTAAATATCAAGTAAGGTTGATAAATTGGTTTCCTAATAGTTAGAACTCACGGGACGGTGATCGGAAGCCGTGAGTTTGAGTTATTTGACTTGTAGTGGACTACTTCGTGGGTTGTTTCGTGTTGCTTTTGGGCTGTCTATCTTTGGAGAAATATCACATAATGGCGAAATGGTGGATTAGTCGTTCTTTGTAACGTTTTCGGGGTGTTTGACGCTACTATATTTGTCATTTTGTGTATGAAGTGATTGGGGTGTGTTGGGCTGCTGTAATCTATATATAACATGGATCTTGACTTGAATCCACTGTAAGAGGTAATTATATTGTGTTCTTTCATGTTCTTAAGGTTATCTTGATGTTGATTAAGTTAAATGGATGGACTAGCCATGAACTAGTGAATAAAGTTGCTAATTGAAGATAGTTGTTGTGGA